GCGGTAGAGGTACCGTCTGCCTGGGACTTATTGGCACAGATCCACAATTAAGATTTTCAAGCAATCCTTCCTTGGGTTCTGGTAGGGTTGATTGACGAATCCCGTCAACCTACATTTTGAAGTACCATTTCGAAGAGGGCCTAAAAATAAGTTGTTCCAATTAGAGAATCTAACTGTCAAATTGACGATATATTTCGACACTTTCCAATGATGGGTCGAAATGAATTGAAGATATTAGCCGAAAGTGTATCTTCCAACCATCACTACTGACGAACTATCTAAGGTTGCATAAAGCTGAGTGCGCTTCCTCATTGTGGTCTAGTCAAATGCTAAAGGCTGTATGCAACATTCAGGGCTAGCAACAAGTAAAAAGCGCATACTGTGTGTGTACATGTAGTCGATTACCAACTTCAGGGACTCAGCAGGCAGGTCGTGCATAGGATAGACATTGTCTGTTGGTCGCCGAGTGAACAGCTCGTGTAGGTAGACTGATTGTGCTGCCAGGATGCAACGATGCGCGGAAATCCGCAGCGTCCCGCAGACTATGACGACGTCGCAGAACTGCAGGTCACTAGGCTCCAGTGGCGCGCAGACGATCAGCGTTTTCCAGACGCAATGCCAGTGGACAAGTGTGTAAAATGGGATTCAGGCAAAGATACCGTTAGCAGACCGTTTTGGCAGTCGAGGTTGCTTAGTTTATGCTCGAGACCATTTCAAGTACTCCCGATTATTCAGCTCTATGTCAGTTCATTTGGCCTTAAGAAGCTTCATCTTTAATGCACATTTATGAATCTCACATAAATAGGTTGGCTAATACAAGACACGCAAGAAGTTGATTCAAAATATACAGTTTTGCAGATTTATAGGATTTTATATCCAAGCAATAGTCAAGGAGAGGGAGAGAGAGAGATAGAGAGAGTAAGAGAAGGTTGAACTAACCTCGGGTCTGGATAGGGCTATCAAACCACGCATGACATTATCATTTCAGATACACATTGAATAGTACAGTATACCGAAACATTTTTACTTTTTAAGTGGAGCTTCGAGGCTACCAGCAGATATGATAAAATGAAATGTATAAACCCCATTTCGTCTGAGGCGATGAAGGACTGGTAGTTGAATTTTCCCACCATTTAATGAGTGAGTTGACGCTTCCATTGCATTTCACACAGTCTGTATTTATCAAAAGGTGTCCTCATCCAGGCTGAAGTGGACTGCAGTTTCAACCTCGCATAGGTTTCAGCAGAACGCTCAGTGGGACTCAAGCGATGACAGTGCAGCATGTAATCTCGACACGTGAGCCACTATCGCCACGAGGGCTTTTGGGCCACAAAACAGATATGAATTGCAATATAGGCCAGGCCTTTTCATATATCCCATTCTTTAGTGCGATTGTCAATAAAGCAAATTTGTTTTTGCTATAACAATCGACTATATTACTTATTTTTCGTTTATGAGTAGGCTCTCGGGGCTACCGGTAAATCAATCATATGAGATGAAAGAACAGCTTTTGGGGAAGCAGGGCTATGCAAAATTTAATGGAAGCGTCAGCTCTATTCATATCATTGTGGGAAAATTCAACTACCAGGCTTGCATCACTTTAAACGAAATAAATATAAATGATTCCTTATACTTTATACAAATCCAATTGGGATCTCTACTTGTGTAATTTGGGCAGACCATATGCATTCCGATGCCCAGCATCTTGTTTTCCACTACCTCAGTTCTTACTGTGACAGACAAACTTTGAACATAGACTTGAGGGTTTCAACAGGGTTTTGGTGACAATTCCAAATGTTTCAAAATCGACCAAAGCCTACATTGCTTTTATGCATAATTTGCCCTATTCCTAAGTATGAATACACTTCCTTCGCTTGCACTCAAAACTATTTTCTCATTTTATCCAAGTTTCCCTTATGACATCATTATGACATCATTCTTAATTTGTACCTTAACATGCATATCAATTATGAGACAACTGGTAGACTGATATCTCCTTTGCTAGCCGACAGATATAACCTATGATTCCTACCGATAGAAGGTGGGCATTAACTCGTAAGTTTCAATGTAGAGTCACTTGACACAAATATTATAACACAAGAAGCAGGCCAGGCCTTAGAGTTAGCATTATGTCAGCGTCCTGAGACCATGAAAAAAATAAAATTTAGGCAAATTATCAGTCATTATGTTGAAAAATTGAATAATGTTTGGCATATAATTTTCACTTTGAAGTAAATTTTATGAACAAACACGAGATCTATTCATGGGATCGTGTTTGCCTTCGAGTCCGGCTAATTAATATGCGGCTCAATTGAAGGTTCCCTATTAGCTTGAAGTGGAACATCAGGACACTGTATAAAGAGAAACTAACATTCCTCCGTTATATGTCGTTTTCTAGAATTTTCTGATCTCCCTTCAGGATCATTTTGTCGCAAGGTTTTGTGCCCATTTTTTATGTGGTTGAGACCCATCGACCCATTTACAAGAGATCATACGCCAAAAAACCTCCTGCACAACTCTATGGGTCCAAAAATCTCGACTGGTTGAACACGTGGCTAATACAGGACAAAACAAAATGGTCCAAACTATAGAGGTCAAGTGGGCATCATATCGAGGCGCAATATTAGTGAGTCTATGGAAATAAACAAACAGTCGATATCGTGAATAGGATAAAAGAACTTGAGTGGGAACCATCTGTAACCGTGGGATATGCAAAGGGATAGAGAGCGGCAGTAGGAAAAATAGCTTCAACTCTGGTGCGGATGCTCGTAGCTAACATAATTTAGGAGCATTGCATGCTCACAATAAAGTTACAGCAAGACTTAGACACTTGTCACATTTGCAATCTGTGAGGAAGCAGTTAATATCACATCAACATACTTTTCATACAGCAAATTACTCATCTGCAGGCATGTAGGGTAAACATGACGCATAAAGACTAGTTTCCGAAGAAGATCTTAATATGTTGTGTGATTCGAATTTTGATTTTGAAGGAAAGGTTAGTCAAGGTGAATCCGTGAATTTACCGAAGGAGCAATGCCATGGATTGAAGTCATAGACTCATCGTCTTTCGAACCCAATGAATTGATGTGGAGCTTCCGTCTGTCATGGGATCTCGTCAGAGAAACTATCATCTGCGTAAAAACGCGTCAAGACATTAGACTGAGAAAAATGGCCAACTAAAATCCTACTTATTAAAAGTGTTTGTAAAGATATTTTCGAGGCTACCAGTAGGTCATTTATATATGAAGCGTATTCACCATATTTCGTTTAAGGTGATAAGGAGACTGTTAGTCGATTTTTCCCACTTTTATATGAGTAGAACTTACGTTTTCATTAAATTTCACATAGCTTTGCTTTCCTGAAAGGTATTCTCGTCCAGACTGGACTGCAGTTTGACCTCCCCTGAGTCTCATCAGCACCTCCAGCAGGATTCGAACAATGAAAGTGTAGTGTATAATCTCGGCACGTTAAAAACTGTCACATTGGGAAAAATAAACTACCATTTTTTCACAGCATTAAGCGAAATATGGTGAATACACTTCCTATATAAATGCTCTACTGGTAGACTCGAAGACCGGGGTAAAAACGAAAAATGAGAAAAATAGTCAAATGCTATAGCAATTACAACCTTGCTTCATCGACCATCCCACCAAAAATGTGATATAATAAAATGCCTGACCTTCCTTGAAATTCACATCTGCCCTATGATTCACGGGCACTCGTGGCAGTGTGGCGTAGTGTTTAACGTGTCGAGTCTATACTCTGCATTGTTATAGTTCGAGTCCCGCTTATGAGACCCAGGCGAGAAGTGGTCGAAACTGCAATGCACTCCTGTCTGAATAAGACTACCTTTCTGGAAGCAAGGCTATGTAAAATTCAATGAAAAGGTAAGGTCTATCCATATGATCGTGGGAAAATTCAACTACTAAATCTCCTTATTACAGTAAACGAAATATGGGGAATTCACTTTAAATATAAAATCCTATTTATTACTTATGACTGATTTTGCATTTTTTTTTGTTCCAATGTATCGGTGCGTTTTTTTGCAACTAATGATTGCTAATTCTAACCACATTTTCCACATGATAGAAGAAAGTTCTGCATAAATTCATTGGGGCCACACGACGATGAGGCGAGGACAACTTCGCCCAGCCCAATAGCCCGCTCCAAGAAAATCCCCCTCAGGAATCTCTTCATGCAGAATTTTCTTTTAAAACTGAATTTATGATCAGATTAACCATATAATGGTATAACTTTTGCAAGATATGGTTATTTTACGACTAATTGGGAGACTAGGTGGCCAAAAGTAATCAACAAAACAATCGAAATCTTAAATACGACGTAGGACTATAAGAAGTTAAGCGGAATATCTTTAGAAACCAGCAACAATCTCACTCGCCAACAAACACTTAATATAAGCAAGAAGTAGCTGACCAAACAACGAGGTGCCAATTTAATATTGCAGAATTTGGTACACGGGGTAGGTAGGATTTCAGCAGGCTACCTTGGTTGGCTTAAAGTTTTGCTGAACTCTCATAAATCATGATTTCAGGCACGACAGCTCATCATAGATTAGTCTGGATTACAGGACCATCATCTGAGTGCCACTTCTCACTTCCCTTTACGTCGGCCAACTTTCTTGTTTGCACCTAAATTCAAGAAAGTCTAACCTTAGAAGGTAGTCAAAAATTCTCCGGATATCGTCTTAATAAGATTATAAAGTAGGCTCTTTCGCAGAAGCACAAATGATTTGATATTTTAGACACTAGTCTAATGGCATATTGAATAGGCCTGTTTAAAATTGGAAACTGGAATGATGTTGTTATCTCAACAATCTAAAACTGGAGGATCGGAAACTCAGCACTTTAAAAATTGGCTCGGATAGATCTGACATTAGTAAAAGTAGATAGATGGAGCCGATTATCTGTACAATAAACTATCGTCCTTTTCATATTCAAGGCCCCTCCTACTCCAGCACTCACACGAAAACAGCAAGTGTTGACTATAGTTTTATACCAAAGCGGCAAGCTTGCAAGCTGGTGTGAAGCTCAGAACGCATAGTCCAATTATTTGCCTTCAATTCCTACGCTTTAGGAGGTATAGAATGTGCACATTTTGTGATGTATGCACTCAGTGCATTAGCGATTTCTTATTTCGAGCTGTCTACGTGTTGCGTAGGTCTTCTATCGCTGCTGCATGATGATACATCAAGTGCGAAACAGATAAAGATTTCAGAAGAAAATTCAATAAGATTGTAAAACACCAGAAGTCATATGGAGGAGGCAAATTCAGTGGAGGAAAACAAGCAATAGGTACCGGCTCTTGCATAGCGGCCAACTTGGAGAATAATTGCTTAGCAAAATGAGGCAATGATAGTTTCCAACACGTAATTTACATAAATGGATGACAATTTTGTCTTCTGGCCTCATGGTTAGGAAAGCCTAGACCAACATGAAAGGATCAGAATGGACCCTTTTTGGATGTCGTGGTGATTGGAGGAGGGGACAAGTTAAAAAAGAGGCCGTCATGCTGACTCTACTGTATTTTCTTGCCAACCATGGTTACAAAAGTAAGGTTGGCATTTTGAGGTTAATGATTATTAGGAGTATGCGACTAGCGGATAGCAATCATTTGATCAAACTGGGGGAACGGCAAGAAGATTTATTACCGGAAAATAATCATCATTTGCGCCTAATTGAGAGTACTATCTCTTTAC